TTAAGAAACTATTTGGAAATTATTATTATGAAATTTTGAGGATCGTTACAAATTCTGATCATCCCATCAATTTGGATAATCTAAACCAAGTATTCTTTGATCTAAACTGATTCAAAATTTTTGTCATCAATCAAAATCATAATTTCTATAACAACTAATTAACGTTTGATGTTTTTACAAATTTACAACTTTTACACATTTCACATACTGGGTGATATTCTTCCTGATGCTCAAAACACGACCAACAGAAATCCACATTAATATATGTATCCCTCGTATCTACATGCAATTTTGTAGTATTTAGGCTGCAACCTTAAGTTGTAATTTTTATACCTAATAAACTACTGTTGCCCCGCAGGTCTTTCAGTTTATAATGTAAATTTTCCTCTTAATACACATTTTTTCTTTATATTTTTCCGAAAATGTCCATAACGAAATTTAATAAAAACCGTGGCAGATAATATTAATTTGTTCTAAGTGCCATTTTTAATGGGACACCTTGTATATGACATTTTTAACTAAATAGATACATAAACAGGTGTAACATCGTCCAAATATGCATGTGTGTTGTTTGAAGATACGCTGTAAATACTTACCAAACAAGTTGTACGATTCCACGTATTTCATTAATCCGATTATAAACGACGAATTCTAACTGGTCGATATTTATCAACTTATGTTGTTAATTCCTAATGAACGTTTACATTATGCAAAGTGTATTATGGAAGACTTTTCGATTAAACCAATTCAATTATTTAATTGAACTAGTAATTGAAAATTTAAATTGACCATCAAGCTGAGGGTCCTTCGCGATTGTTTTTAATTTTTTTTATTGAAGATTAAACGATTAAAAAACAAAGTTCAAAAGTGTTTTATGATCGAACAGTAGTAGTAAACCAGTGGTATGGTAGGCAATTTATAAATACTAGTTTGTTCGTTAATAACTTTATTATACATTGACAGTTTTTAATTTACGCATGTTATGATTATTGAATCCATTAATACCTACACTTGCTTTTATTGCTTTTTATACATCAGGGGCGCGCCAATTTTATACGGCGCTTGTTCGCACAACTTAAAAGTTGGCGCCTATATTATATAACATAACCTGCTTACCGCCCAATCCGCAATTAAGAAGCCATAGATAAATTAATATGTATTTATCTATGTAAGAAACAGTCATAGTCATAGATAAATTAATATGTAAGATAAACCGTTTAAATGCACGGCACTGGTAACAAGTTGTTAGTTTCACAGCATACTATTTGGAGCCACCATCGCACACTGGCTGATTGGCTGATTTGCTTGATAGTTAAAGGCAACAGAAAATAAAAAAGAGATTGTAAAGCGTACCCGCGGTTCATTCAAATGTCCTTTATTATTTATTTACATTTTTTGGCATTCATTACTCTAAAAAAACTAATATATAAATTAAAATATTGTATTTAACATAAATATTAGATTGTTAAAGTAATAAAACCCCAAAATATATAAATAAAAAAATATTTATATTAAAATATTTGAAACACAGGTATAGTTTAATAATTTAATACAAGTAAGGTGCATTTAAAGGTTTATTACATACATAACATGTACTCAATATTAAATAACATTTTTACGAGGTTATCAACATAGTTGTCAAACCTCTCTTTAAAATATCCCAGCAATAGTATGCAATAGTATGCCATTGTATGGATGGTATAGAGATTGACAAAAACAAAATAAGATGTTTGGAATAACTCTAATCTCATGAAAGTTTATGGAAACTGGCAACATCGCTTTCATCTTATTGCGATGGTGGCTCCAAATAGTATGCCGAGGAACTAAACTTGTTACCAGTGCCGTGCATTTAAATGGTCTATCTATGGTCGTAGTCGAATAGTCAAGCCACTAGCACAGAAAAATGAATACCTATTGCTCGTTCGAATCAAACTCGCTGCACTTCATTTCACCATGGGGGTTTTGCGATAAATTTAATAGTTTGCTAGGAAGTGTTTCCAAAACACTTTAAAAACATGTCGGTTTAATAAAGTTGAGTAATAAGTTAATCTTATTACTAATTATATTAAGTGAATTTAATAACAGCATTGAAGACATTTTTCTACGCCCATGGATTGAAGAATGCATGAGCTGAATGAATGGGAAGGAGTAATGTATTTAATTGGTGGCACAATAAGCCATTTGAGGTTTAGTGGCGTACCCACGGGGGGATATTAGGCATATCCCTCCCCCAGGACCAGCACGTCCGCAGACTCAAACACATCATCAAAGTGATAAGTGATCGTAAGAAAAAATAAAAGTAAAAGACCTCTAAATCGCTTTATAATAATTATTAAATCAAATACATCATACAGGTGTTGGAAGTAATTTAATAAATAAAACTTTAATTTGTGTCAAAATTGTTGTGAGGAGTTTTCGCGGTAATATCGTCGTTGTAGAGTCAAAACCTCGTAACTGGTGTTGGAAGTAATCTAATAAATAAAACTTTAATTTGTCAAAATTGTTGTGAGGAGTTTTCGCGGTAATATCGTCGTTGTAGAGTCAAAACCTCGTAACTGGCGTAACTGAATGTAATTTTCTTTTTTTTTTAAGAATAATTTTAAAAATGTATATCTTTATTTTCCTATATTTTCCTCTATTTTTCTCTATTTTCCTATATTTTCCTTTATTTTTCTCTATTTTCCTTTATTTTCCCCTATTTTTCTTTATTTCCCTCTGTTTTCCTCTATTTTCCTCTATATTTCTCTATTTTTCTCTATTTTTCTTTATTTTTCTCTATTTTTCTCTATTTTTCTCTATTTTTCTCTATTTTTCTCTATTTTTCTATATTTTTCTCTATTTTTCTCTATTTTTCTCTATTTTTCTCTATTTTTCTCTATTTTTTTCTATTTTTCTATATTTTTCTCTATTTTTCTCTATTTTTCTCTATTTTTCTCTATTTTTCTCTATTTTTCTCTATTTTTCTCTATTTTTCTCTATTTTTCTCTATTTTTCTCTATTTTTCTCTATTTTTCTCTATTTTTCTCTATTTTTCTCTATTTTTCTCTATTTTTCTCTATTTTTCTCTATTTTTCTCTATTTTTCTCTATTTTTCTCTATTTTACTTTATTTTCATCTGCTTTTATATATTTTCCTCTATTTTCCTTTTTTTTTCCCCTCTATTTTCCTATATTTTCCTTTTTTTTTCCCCTATATTTTCCTCTATTTTCCTCTATTTTCCTCTATTTTCCTCTATTTTCCTCTATTTTCCTCTATTTTCCTATATTTTCCTATATTTTCCTCTATTTTCCTCTATTTTCCTATATTTTCCTCTATTTTCTTCTATTTTCCTCTATTTTCCTCTATTTTCCTCTATTTTCCTCTATTTTCCTCTATTTTCCTATATTTTCCTCTATTTTCCTCTATTTTCCTTTATTTTCCTTTATTTTCCTTTATTTTCCTTTATTTTCCTCTATGTTTCTCTATTCTCCTCTATTTTCCCCTATTTACCTCTATTTTCCTCTATTTTCCTTTTTCCTCTCTTTTCCTCTATGTTTCTCTATTCTCCTCTATTTTTCCCTATTTACCTCTATTTCCCTCTATTGTTCTCTACTTTCCTCTATTTTCTTCTATTTTTATCTACTTTCCTATATTTTCTTTTATTTTCTTCTACTTTTCGTTATTTTCCTCTATTTTTCTTTATTTTCCTCTATTTTCTTCTATTTTCCTCTATTTTTCTCTGTTTTCTCTATTTTTCTCTAATTTCCTATATTTTCCTCTGTTTCCCTTTATTTGCCTATATTTTTCTATATTTTTCTCTATTTTCCTTTCCGTGTGCTTATATCGGGGCAACTTCTTGGTGACAGGAAAAGTTTTAAGGCCGTAAAGAGGCTTAAATATCAGAGTGAAACTTAAGCTCAATTTATAACCGCCGTAACGTAACTTAAGAACTTAACGTAAGAAGTTGAAGTATTGAATTTACTTAGGTATACTTATTTATAAATGTTCGTAATGTAACTTAAGAACTTAACGTACGGTTGAAAGTTCGCCAACTCTTAAAAACTTAAGACCTTACGGTCAGCCAATGAGATACTTCTGAGTTCAGCATGTGATAGCTGTCAATTCTTCTTTTTATTTTTTTTTTATAAATGAATGGACAAATACGATTTGTAAACTATCATTCTCCATTTTTATGGACATACATTATCATGAATGTTTTGTGTTTATGTTATTGGGCATAAAATATTTATGAACTGAAACAAGACACAAAACTAGTTTGCTAGGAAAGATTGAATTTTCATTATCGCTCAAAAACAATCTTCGGTAAACTATTATGTTTTATTATATTTTTATATTATTGCTTTTAAAGTAGTTAATAAATTCTTTCTATCCCCATAATTTATGGGTTTTATTTGAAAATTAGGTAAATAGTATATACACTTGTTTATTTCTTAAGATTGTCTGTAATTTAATAATCTTTAAAATACAACACGCATGATCAACTCTTACGTTACGGATATTTATAAATATGCTTCATTTTTATATCTTCCGTTAAATTTCTACGGCATTAAGTTACGTTACTATAGTCATAAATTAGACTTTAAGGTCTTCGAGCATGATCGGACTAGTCGAAAATGGTCTCTTTTTTTTTCGAAAAAGACAATGTTATTGTACATATTCAATAATTTACTGGGTTAGGTCGATTGTAACTGAACAAATAATGAAATACGACAACTGCATTGGTAACAATTAGTAACAAGTCATGATTATCTCTACAAATCGATTGGAATTCCTCGTTCTACACACCGAACACACACGATAAACGTTTCGTCACACTAAATGCCCCCACGAATTACAGGTAAAAAAAAACTACCTAATGCTTGTGCCCCTTTCGCGACAGTGGCGTACCATGGATATTTTTCAGTAAATTCGTAATAATATTAATTTATATTTCAACATAATTATATTATTATTTACTATTTAGAACTAACTAAAGCTAAAATGAATTTCCTTTGTTATAGGTGCGACCAAAAGCGAAATTTCCAACTATAAAACATTATGAAACATCTCCAAATCAGTAAGTATCCATATTTTTATCGTTAGAACAATTTAGGTGCCTTCTCGTTTAGAACCCGCATCTGTTTTTAATATATCAATCTTATTTGGGTCGTTTGTTTGGATCACATAACTATTACCATTTTCGAGTTTAAATTCATTTAAAAAAGAAGAATTGTAATATATCACATACGTAATTTTTACGTAAACGTCAACTTTAGAAACATTTTTGTGGATCTCTTTATCACTGCGTGATTTTAAGTTTTTAATGATCTACTAAATAATCAAATTTGAAAAACTATATATGTATGAAAAGGTTCCGCTATTATCAGCTCTAACAATTATTGTACATAATATAAAATCAATACAAGTCGTAAAGGATAAATTAATATTATTTTCTGTTTGTCAATAAAATAAATAAAGTTACGCATATACAACTAACAATACAAGAAAGTAATATTGGTTGCCTAGATTTCAGTAATGTTTTATCAAAAAATAATTTTATAAATGTAGTCAAAATTGTATGTAACACATTACGAAATGCCGTTTTATATAACTAGGGTTGCCAGATGCCGCGCTTTAGGCGTAATTGCCACGCTTTTTCATTTACTGCTACGCGGCACGCCAAATTACCCAAATGCCACGCTTTTTACCTAAATGGCACGCTTTTTAAATCAAAACTTATAAATAATGAATTTATGACTTTTATAGGATCTGTTTTATAAAAATATAAGCGAAAGACCATTTTTTTAGATCTCCACGAAAAAAAATATGTTTTTATAAAAGTTCCTGTTTTCATCTGATACCCTATCATCATCAGGGCCACGCTTTTCCCTTTCTTTATGTCATCGATTCTGCATAAATAATTTTAAAGAGTTAAAACCCTATCAATAGAATTTGAACCTATATAAAGTTTTACCTAAATTATTATTTCTGTTTTTTTGGAAAGAACGTTGTATAACTAACGTAACCATACAAGAGTTAGAATAGCTTGAAGCTAACCTTCGCATATCTGGTGCAAATGTTGTACATTTGTTCAATAAAGACATTTTTATTTATTTATCTTTTTTTTGGAAGGGATAGTCCCGCTTTTAAGCTATGTGTTCCACTGTCTCCAAAGAACGCGAAAATGGTCCACTTAAAAAAGAGTGTGATACGAAATAATTCTAAGATTCGAAATAAGATTAACTTTCGCTCGTCTGCTTACCGGAAGAAAATTATTTTTCATTAAATAAAATATGTTTATAAATATACCGCAAATGGGTTGCCTAAGAAAATACTGTCAAAACAATTTATTTTTTAAAGTAAAAAAAAAAACTATAAAGTATCACCTAGATGCCCAAAATTTAATCAGCTCATCGCAAGATGGATTAAAGTTTAAAATTTGGTGTTTTCTTTCTCAGTTTTCGTGTTATCTTTAAAATTCAAAATTTGCATTTTTCCGCAAATATCTCGAATACGGTTAAATTTAGGGAAATCATGTCTAGGAGAATAAGTGTAGAAAATGACATGACAAGCAACTCTTATAATGATTCCTATACTTTCCTTACCTGTATACAGAAAGGAAAGTAAAAATAGCAACAGTATTTTTTTAGGCAATCCATTTGTGATATATTTATAAACATATTTTATAATAAAAGATAACTTTTATCCGGTAAGCAGATGGGTGAGGTCGACCTTACTTCGTATCCTGTACTCATGGGCGTCGTTTGGGGAGGGGGGGCAATGGAGGGGGAGCACTGGGGGGGGGGGCAGTTGCCCTCTCCCCAGCTTTTACGACTTAATCAACAACGCGTAAGATATGCATTACGAACAACAATCCGATAGAAATAATAATATTTAGACTAATATAGTTGAAGAATATTATAGATTGAATATATTTATTGCTTATCTGGATTCCCTTATTACGTCGCTTACATCACGCTTTTCCGAAGACTCTGTCCTTAAGCCTGTTACATCCCATAAACATAAAAAATAACACTTTTTTCACATTATTGTATATGGCTAAAATGCAATCTTGTGACTTATTGACAGGAAACCAGTTTTAATCATTAATTTCTATGGGTTCTTTCGAACTAAAAATGAAGAAAATATAAATTACAATCGCAAATATACCAATTATTTTTGTAAATACATTTTAATTCTACGATTATACCGGGTGTTCAAATTAAAGTGTTACAGTTAAATACCGCCGAAAATATGCATTTTAGAAAAAAAAGTTTCAGACAAAAGTTTTATAGTTTTTTGGGAAACATTTGGCTAAATTAATTTTTTTATAGCTGACCATAATATGGCCAGATCAAGGTGTTTTTTTAAATGGGAATCCCATTTTTTTACATATTCTTAAAGTCCATTAAAAAAATAAGAAACTTTTGATGAAAATATTTTGAGTAACAGCTACTTGAAAATTTTACTGGGCGAAAAAAAAGTTGGCCATATTATGGTTAGCTATAAAAAACGATTTTAGCCAAAATTTTTTCCCCACAAAATTATAAAACTTTCGCCTGAAACGTTGTTTTTTATTAAAGGCGGTATATAGCTGTAACACTTTAATTTGAACACCCGGTATAATGGTAATGTTTTTACTTTGATATTAATTGAAGCCCTTGGTGTAAAAAGGATTCAAGCCACAATTTGTCGTGAAGTGACTTTTTTAGCTCAAAACATATGTTAACAAGGATATTACTATGGCTAGATACAAATTATTTTATCTCTAATCCGAAAGATGGCGCTATTTTCGTAATATTTATCTTTAAATAATTTTTTATTTGTATTTGACAGATTTAAAACAAATTAAAACTAAATTTTTTAAAACTTACTTAATTACGCCAAGGTCTTTAATTAACCTATTCTTCAATCACAACTTTTTAGGCATATTCAAGGTCTCATACATTTTCTCGTAAATACCTGCCTATGTTTTGTTATTGCTTTTTATTGATTATACTACTTTTTTTTAGCTGAAGTAATAAAAATATATAATAATAATAATTTTTTCACTTGTTTTACAAATCCATATACTTTTATTAAAATTAACATATATATTTCTTAATTACGAACTCTATTAAAAATTGTATTGTCAGTATTTCATAAAATAGTTGGCGTTGCTGTCACGCACGGAGCGAATAATAAATGAAAATAAGCTGACTGATAAATAGTTTTCTGTTATCGATGTTTTTAGTAGAGAAAATAGAAATTTAAAATTTGCGTTTTCCTAGTGTTTTTTTTTTGTTTTCATCGTCGTGTCTGAGTGAGTTTTTTATGTTTTTGTTTTTTTATAATTTTTTATTTTTTATTTTATTATGGATGACTGTGTCTTCTTGTTCATATTTTTCTTTTATATCACACATTCTATTTGTTTTTTAAAAATGTGTTTTAAGTTTCTTGGTTTTTCTTTATTTTAGTTTTTGTCTTTTTTATTGGGTTATTTTATTTATTAGAGACTTGTTATGACAACTTAAGTATCAGTTCTGTCAAATAGGTCAGTGACATTGTTAGGATTGCTACTAAAGTTCCACTCCTCCTTATCTTTGTTATTTAGTGAGATATCGGAATAGCTTTTTTCTGTTTGAAAGACCGGAACAAATAATTTCTTATGATGGATTCAATTGTTCTGTGACGTCATGACTTACTTCCGGTTTTTCCGAAAATAAGAGAAAATCTATTTTTTTATTTTTAAAAGGAAACCCTCTTTTTATTGTAAATTTGAATTTCTGGGACATTTTTGTATAATAATCGTGTATTGGCAATTTTCTGTCAGCTGTCAAAATGGCCGCCATATTGGATAATATTTTTTCTAAATATGTACTATTAATTCGTTTATGAAAAAACATATAGGAATGTACGAACTTTATAAAATCTTTAGGCTTCAAAATTCCCATTGAGACCCATTTACCGTATACCAGTGGCGTATCTAAGCATTTTTATTATGAGCAAACCGTTTTAATAATTCCATCCGCTTTTATGTTGTTAATTGAGATATTGGAATTATAACTTATTTGTTTAAAAGCTTGGGACAGATACTCTCATATACTGGATTCAATTAGTGTGTGACTTCATGGCTTACTTCTGTTTTATTGGAAATAACAGAAATTCTCAATTTATTTTTAATTTTTAAATAGAAACCCCCGTTTTTATTGAAAATTTGAATTTCAGGGACATTTATGGATAAGAATCATGTGTTGAAAATTTCCGTCAGCTGTCAAAATGACCACCATATTGGAAGTAAGCCATGACGTCACAGATTAATTAAATCCATCATAAGAAAATTCACTTCTATCCTTCATTTTCTTTGTTTTCCAACAAAAAACATTCTAAATTTTTTCAAAATTTTGTTCCTCCCTATAGAATTGTGTAACGACGCCTATGCCTGTACTATAGTGAAAAATCTTATTTGGAAGTCTCAGTATTGAAAGCCAAGAGTAAAAGAAACAACAGTTCCATTCCCATTTAAAAAACAAACCAAAATATAGTTTTGTTCTGTTTAGTATAGTTCTGTTTTCTGTTTCTAATTTTTAATAAACATAAAACATTAACTATTTCACTTATTTTTAATAATTTGTTACATTTTCTATTGTGTTTTACAATTTTTACAGTTGTTTTTTTTATCCCTTAACATTTAGTCTTCCCGCTCTAAGGAAAAAAAGTATGGTCACGTTAGGTGTAACACACATTTTTGTTAGATTTGTAACTGATAATAAACTTATGTCAATCGTTAGTAATTTACCGCATTACTGACCTTTTCCCTTTTATCATCAGTTGGTATCAAAGTAATATTTCCACGTGGAGCGTTGCGGGAAAACTTAATTTTCTACGCGAAAGAGTATTTGCATATTTCATGAAAGTAATCGATAAAATATAGACCAAAATTGTTACGAACTATAGTTACAAGTACCATAAATAGAATTTGGTTCAAGGCTGTTTATTGAAGAAGAAAAAGTTGTGGGAAAAATGAGTAGCTTAAAATGTCATCTTTTTTCTTCTTCAATAATTTCTGCAAATAAATAATTTTGCGTAATTGACAGT